TGTTTACAAAATGAGTCTTTGTTTATTATCTGATAAATGTATACTTTTTTCGTCAATTGTTCACGATTGCAGATGTCTTTGTGTAAAATCCAAGTAGGATGTATGTAAGCTAATAAATGTTCTCGTTAATCTTATCTCGCCATTTGGTTCGTTCACGGTTACAAGAAATCACATAGAGTCTCTCAAGTCTCCGTAGATATAACAAACAGAAATAAATTTCACAAAATAAATCGTAGCTATGCGTCGATTCCGCGCGACACGTCCGAACATGTAAGCTGGACAATAGTGTGGGGGGAGTGAATAATCAAGAGTTGCGTGGCGCTCAAACAAAACATAAATCGACGAGATTTGAAAATCGCGTAACTCCGGGTTCGCGTAAGTCGGGGTAGCGTAAGTCGAGGTATGACTGTATATGTTTTGAGTAAAGAAAATAATAGACAAAATGCGGAATTGCTTACCTTATGTAAATCAGCTTCTTTAATTACAATTAGTGTATATTTGTGTGGAAATGTTTTATCTATTTTTTTTTATAAAACTTTTTAAAAATATGTTTCAATTTGCAATTAATGAAAGTATATGAAGTCAAAAATAATAAAAAGTAAATCTTATAGTATAATCAAGATGGGTTAATGGTAATAAGCGTTGAAGCCAAGCAGTTGTAAGTTGATATTTGGTTCACATTTTGAGTACATTATGAGCCTACACACTAAGATGGGTTTTTTTAAAACTTAACCCCGCGGAATGACAGCGACCGTTTGTTAAGGCTTACCTTGAAGAACTCGTTTTCTACTCTACTATTTTAGATGCAGTTTTTTGCAGTTTTGCGGGAAAATAATATATTTTTAAAAGTATCCAAAAATTCTCAAATTCGTCTTAGAAAAGGGAAGACCTAACTCTTCCACCTGGTAAAAATAGGCGAGATCGTCTATAATCTAATATAGGGGAGATCGGGGCTAGATCGGCATGTTAAGCTTTACTTAAATTTTGTGTAATAAATACTGCTGTAAACTGAAAAAAAAGCTTTGCATATTGTCTATTGGAATGTTACCTTACTATAGAACTGGTTAAAATCAGTTTGGAAATAAAAATAATTAAAATAATTACAACTTTACAAGAAGAGAGAAATTGACGAAGTTGCCCCGGGTATAGGGGCAAGATCGGCAACTTCTCTCTTTTTGTAAAGTTGTAATTATTTTAATTATTTTTATTAAAGTTGCCCCTGGTATAGGGGCAACAGTAATGGGGCAAGATAGGCACGTATATAAAATTATGTTATTAACAATGTATAAGTTGGAATTCACTATTAAAACAAAGAAATACAAATCCAACACCCATTTAATATTATTACAACGAAATGCAAGTTCAAAGACATATATACATGAATAACAAATGCAAACATGTTTTCATTTATCATCTGTTTGATTTTTATCCTTTGCTTCTAATGTGGCTTTATGTTGCCGATCTTACCCCGCTAGTCATGATTTCGAAACATTAAGTACAACCCTGAGAACAGAATGCCAAGCCACGATCTGGCCACGTGAATAAGTTGAAGTTACATCCTTCTAACAGGAAAAGTAACTTTCGTTATCATGGAATTATAACAAAACCTGCCAATTCAATATAAATGGAAAAAAAATATTATATGGAATTGAACGAAAATGAAAATTTGCTTGATAATTCAACTACGCTTGTTGGAGAACAATAAAAACACTACACTCAACAAGCCACCAATAAAACTCAACTGCCTAACCTATAACCAAAGTCTCCTTTTAATTTGTTTTTTAAAAAAAGCGCTTGACAAACTTGCCCCGCATGCCGAAGTTGCCCCGATCTCCCCTAAGCTTAATTCTCGCTATCATTACATTTTTCTCAAGAAACACTGCTAGTTCTATTATGAAATTTAATTAATTAACAATACTAACTGTTTAAATACAATTCGTGTTTTCAAGAACAATCTAACTAATCAAATTGTTCTCGAAAACAAAATTTCACAGAATAATAATAGTAATGGTATTGTAACAATTAAACACACAATTTTGTTACGTAGGAGTAGGCTAACAATAACTAAAATTTTAATTTCATAAATTTTTTGTTTAAATTAATTATTATTTTTTTCTTTTAGATTTCTTCTAAGTTACAAATTTTTGAAGTAGTTAAAGCAAGTGCTATCTTTGTAATATACCTATGTATTTGAAGTCTTATTAAAAATCGTAGATTTTATTAAATTTAGTAATGAAACCCCATCGAAAAACAATCCGATTTTGGTCATTACTTATTCTTGTATTTTACATTGTTCTTGCAAATTGTTATCTTGAAAATTTCTGTAGTTACTCATTAAGAAGGAACAAGTGACTCTGAAATCACATTAGTTTCAACGCTACTCGGGAAATTAACGTGTGCTCGATTTAATTTCAATTGTTTTTAGTTTATTCCGTTTAAAATAGATTTACACTTGATCGATAATCAATTGTTTACAACCACTTCATGAACGCAGTTCGATTGGTTCTCCTTAACCGCCACTCATTTCGTCAAACACGATATAACTGTCATGTGAACACAAACGTCATAGTAGTCGATAAAAGTAGAGAAATATTTGCGTTGATTATAGACTAGAAGAAGAATGGAGGCAAAAATATTCTGTACGTTAATGATAATTTATTTTTTTGCCGTTACAAAAGGTAACATAGTAGAAGGTGAGTGAAATAGAATTATTTTTAAAAGTCTTTTTCTCGGAAATTATGGTCAATAACAATGTATTTCTCAAAAATAAAAGTTTTAACATAAAGGATAACTCATATATAAGTTTCGTTCAGCGGTATTGCATATAGGCTACGTCATTTTTAAAATAATTTCTAATATTATTTAAGATAAAAATTTTTATATAATAAATCGCACAGTAAAGGGTTTATTACAGTTAGTTAAGTAGATTTTATCTTATGAAATAATATGAAAAGCTTTCTTGCATTAATAATGTAAAATGTACAATGACGTTGGATTTTGTAGATATTATATTTCTTTGTTCATTAAGAAGTATCTCAATCTGCCCATTTGTTTACGGAAAGATGCTATTTACACAAAAATTATCTATTGTTATTAGACTGCAATTTGAAAAATTTTAGACCGACTAATTTTGTCTATATCTCTGTCAACCTGTCTTTTCTAAATCACGAGACCTGAGTTTGGCACATAAAAACGAATAAAACATATAAAAAGATTAGGGAGATAAAATCACGATTAATTATACACGAACGTGTATAATTAATCGTGATTTTACGTGATGATTAATTATACACGAACGTGTATAATTAATCGTCACGTAAGTAACATTATTTGAATTAAAGCTTTGTAACGTAAGTAGCATTATTTAAATTCAAATATTTCTCTCGAAAAGAGTTAAACAGATTACAGATATAACTCTGTTGCATACAGGAAAAGTACTATGTACGGTGACAAGACACTACAAATTTGATGTGGAGAGAATATACTTTTAATTAAGTAAATCAAAAATATGAATAAAAATTTCATTGCTGATTGTGACGCTGTCGTAATAAAGATTTTTTGGTTTTCATCATAAAATTTTTATAAATTGAAGTTTTCTCTGTAAAATTCGTCGGTATATCATTATTATATCTTGTCTTGTCATATAAACTATTGTTTTGACTTCGGCTTTTTTTCTATTCTAACATTTCACTTTTAAAGTTTGTTCACATTAGTTATGTTACTTGAATTGAAGCGACTCGAAACACTTGACTAATATGAACCTGTTATTTACTTGGTTTGAAATATGAAATAATAGATGTTGTTTTAAGTTCAAACTGCAGTTGACATTCTTTTAAATTTTTCTTGCTTAGAATGACAATTTCAATATGACTTCTACATGAATTCTTGCTGATATTCGTTCTCATATAAATGGTTTCTGTATGGTATTGACAATCATACTGATTACGTCATCAAACTCCTCTATATATAGGCTATTCTTAGGTTATTTTCGTATGTTTTAACAGAGTCGCAGATGCAATAAGGCGATTATTTCTGTTAATCCACTCTTGCAATATATTGATGATTTTTATTTACCATAACTTTCCAAGAGTTTTAATAATTCGTTCACATTATCTGTTGTTATTTAAATTCTATCATGCATTCACTGATTTGACGCTGTTTTAAATATCTACTTGATGGAAGTTAATTGCTTAAACAGAGCATTGAGTTCGAGTTACTTCGACTCAAATGACTAGACGAATGTGAACGAGCTTTATACTATTCTCTTTCGTTACTAAGAGAAATGTGTTTATTAAGGTAATTGATAATTAACTAATGAGAACCACTAAAAGTATTGTTAATATTAATTTTAGTTAAACGAAAGCGTTTTTTTACGAAGTATCGTCATGTTTTTCATTGATTTTAATCTTTTTTTTCTACATTTTTACCATACAACTTTTTAATGCCAGAAAAACTAAAAGTAAAATTATGCTATTTTAATCGATAATTTGTTCTAGCGGCTCGCGTTTGTTCAGTTAAGTACCGAGTGATTTTTTCCACAATGTTTCTTGGAATACGAATTGTTCGAGTTTAAAACAATTCGAGTGCCGTGATCTTCCTGTATTTCTTTTGTCATTTTTATGAATAATAATGTCTACAGTTATAAAAAATTAATAAAACCCATTAATAATTGTTCAAATAAACTTTAAGAAATACGAAGATTAAACTATAAAAACAGAAGATGTCGACAGTCTTAAAAACTAAAATCTGAAAGCAACGTCGACACAGCTTTTCGAGAAGCAGAATTCAACTGCCGTTGAGTGACTTCTGACCATGCCTTTCGAATGAAATGTATTGCTTCAGGAATATGAATTTTTTTTCTAAACCGTTTTTAATATCATCGTTGAAGATAATTGCCATGTTTCAAAACACCGACAAAACAGTGCTTGAATATACAATTTCTTGAAACCCGCAATAATCTCTTGATCCATTTGTTGAATCAACGAAGTGGTATTCGCGGGCAAAAACTGAACTGTCAGCCAGGAAAAATCTTCAAGGTCTTTTGGGTGTCTTGCTGTATTGTCTAATAGCAACATTGCTTTCAATTGGATTTCAATGGTCTAAAGGTAATTCTTGATTCTTGGAGTACAAACTTCAGACAGCCATTCTTTGAAAAGAGCCTGCGTGACCCATGTCCTTTTATTCTATCTCTACGTCGTTGGCAGTCTTTCTTTTAATTATAGAATTTTTTGACTGCTTTAGTGTTTTCACAGTAATAGACAAAAAGCGGGATAAACTTCGTGTTACTACTAGCAGTAGCTTACAAAAGTACCGTCAACCGGTCTTTCGTAGGTTTACGCCCAGAAAAATTTTTCGTCTATCATTATGTAGATTCGGTTCGGCTTGCGCTTCCAAAATAAACCAGTTTCATCAAAATTTAAAATTTGTTATAGTCAATATTTTTCTTTTTAATGAATTATTCAAATTTGAGACAGAACATTTCAACTTCTTCTTTGTCTGCGCTTGAAAACTCACCGTGAATTACGACATGTTAAATGCCAGATCTCCTAAACTTTTCAAACTAGTGTTTCCTTGAATTTTATCTCCTCACGTGACAAATGTGAAGTGAGTTTCTTCAGTTCTTCAAAAATTTCTCTAGCTTTTTCTTGAGTGATAGTCATACTAGACACATCACCTTCATTTTCATTTCTTTTATCTAAATTATGAACAATCTCTCCATTTTTTCATCGATGGCACATCTTCGTTTCTCAGATGTGATTTTTGTTACTCATTTACCTGCTTGAGTTTTGTGACCATATCTTTCTTAGCTAAGATTGTGCCTACTCTAGACCTTGTTCAAGCCATATTGCATAGCAACATCAAACATCTGCAAACTCTCTCTATCTTGGCTATTATCTCTCGCTTGGTTTCTATGATGAGCACGGTTCTTGACACTTCACTCTTCTTAGGTTCCATAATATTATCAATTTCTGTTTGAAATGAGATGTTCAGAAAACACAAATCAACTAACTCACAAGAAGATTATGTGATTTGAGGCCTAAATGAAATTCGAAATTTTGGTGTAAAAACGTTAACGAATATCCTATAGGTCAGTTAAGCTCTATTATCAAGTACTCTATTAACGAAACATAAAACAGAGAAATTCTAAATAGAGAACAGCACTCTCTTATTTAAGCGAGCTGCTCGATTTTAATAGGTCTATTAAGAAAACACTTCTTAGAACCCTTTATTATATTTATAATATTTAAATGAATTTTATTTTACTTTGTCGAAATATAAATATAATAAATAATAATTTGTTTTAGGTGACGATATAAAATCTTACGTGGTGAAAATAGCAATGGTATGAAAAGTCAATTCTATTATAGATTTATTAATAACTGTTTTTTTTTATTAATTTAAATACTTTTTAAGAAACCAAGATATAAAAATACTCCTGCCGACCAAATTTTTAAAGACTTTTATGAATTTAATATTATTCAGAAGAAATTAAAATTTAGGTGAGTTAAAACGTCGAAATTTATTGTTGAAATTTTTTTACTGAAGGGATTCTGTTTCTATTATTTTTTAGCATTTTTTTTAAATAAATTCCCTCTTCACTTTTGTTTTCTCTTCTACCTTTTATCTGTTCACTGATCAACTTCATATCACACAACCTGAATTTTTATCTAGTCACGAACGAGACTTTAGTTTTACTCCAGAATATTTATGTCAATTATCTAATAAAACATTTGATGTGTTATTCTGCTGAAGAATTGAGTTAATATTTTTATTTATCTGATAGTAAATCCTGAATTCTATTAGCATAGATAAGTGTAATTGATTGCATTTACCGTTTGTTGTAACAAAATAACATTACTATTACGTCATATTCAACCTAAGCATAGCTTTGTGAACAACACTGTTGAAACTCTGACTTTCTCAAGTCATTGCGTAATTTGACTTTAGTCTAATGATTGAGAATTCAAAACAATATCATGAGACATCTATGAAAAATAGTATGGCCAATGATAACATGATAACAGAAATAATTAGACATATAGCTGTTTATGATAGTACAAAATGGCAGAGCTTCGATTTTTTTAATTAGTACAGTAGAGAAATCAAATTAAAACAATAATAATATTTGGTCTGCGTGTGAAAGAACAAGTGAAAAAAAGGAATTTTCGTTTGTCTATTTAGAAATATTCCTAAACTTTTAAACTTTTTAAGTATTGTTGTTTATAATATAAGTGAAATAATTGACAGTGGAGAGCGCTTGACAACCCTAGAAAAATACAGTTGCTTTATATATATTGTGATCTTGACTTTGATTGTTTCTGATTTTAGAAACATAACATAATATTTCGACAAATTGCACAAACTTTCATAAATTTCAAAATGTGTGAAGAAATTCGTTCTTGCACATAAACAGCCACTGACACCGTACATATAGGAAACCCCCAGTTTTTTGCATTCCTCTAGGTTTTACGGTTCCTCTGAGTTAAAAAATGTTAAAGACAGGGGAGTCGGTTTTGGACTGATGACATACTTTCGCTTTGTTATTTACAGTAGATCCCCCTATAAGACGGTAGATACGTTTCGTTCTTTATGAATCAATTTTGTAGGAATCACAGCCAATCACAGCCCGACACGTATGAAGTTTACGGACTACGGCTGTTTGAAAGGTTTTCTTCTATAAAATTAACCGATTCTAGACTAATCCGACTCAACATTTCCAAAATACGTATATTTTTTTCGAAATAATCCGTATAAACTACGCTATAAACAAAAAATTGTAGGATTACTTACTGAGTGTGCACCATTCGACATCGCCGCCGTTGCTCAAGCTTGTTTTGTTGCGGAACAGCTCAGCAAACCGCGGCCACGATTTCTGATGTTATTTTTCTGCGAAAACTTCGTTGAACTTTGGAGACATCATTAATATAAATAATTTTTATGGCCGTTGAATAAAAAACGTATAAAATTACAGTGCTGTATTAGACTTTCGGTACCTAATTTACATACTGTACAGACGATAGTTAGCCTAAACTCTCGGTAGTGTAGCGCCAGGCGGCGGAAAGCATATATATAATTATAATAAAGTTACAATAAATTGAGTTAATATATAATTATATATACAGTACCTAATTTATATATAATTAATATATAATTATATGTACAGACGAAACTAAACTCAATTTACCTGCCTAAACGGCCGTAGCATGGCGCTACGGATGGCGGGAAAGTAGTTCGGCTGCCCGATGACTTTTTATGTAATTATAGGAGATTTTTACCGTTGTGTAGGGATACCGCCACAATTTTTTCGCCGTCTTATAGGAATCGTAATTATAGGAACCAGTCTTATAGGGGTATCTACTGTATAATCGCCGAAAATATAGTAGATTAATTTTTATTTATTTATAATAATAACGACGAAAATAAGTACAGTATATTTGATAGTTTTCTCACCAGTGGGTCGTTTAAATAATACTTCTAACATAATTTATTTATACATAATTAGGTTAAAGTCTAGATACGTATACCTTCATGGTGGCACTTCATACTTGTTATTGATACGTGTTCAAGAACTACCGAAAATCAATAACTATCGTGAATCAATAATTAGTAACGTTTGGCACATGGCGGCCTGCCGGTTCAGTCTTATGTACGAACAGTCGGGACGGTGCCATGATGGTATACGTATCTAGACTTCAACCCATAATTATAATGTTTTAGTAAAATAATATGTCCACAGATATAAAATAGTGAAACCAATGGTGAATTTTCCTTCAAAGTCATACGTAAATGGCTCATGGATTGGTATTCTTGGGCAATTGGCTAACAAGGTGAGAAATGATAGACTATTATATTTACCGCGGAAGTAATATAGACAATTAATTTTAAGTTATCCAAAGACATAAATTAATAATTGATTTATACTTTTATAAGTTATTTAAAATCGCATTTAATAATATATTTATGTATTTTTTATAGACAGCAGATATATATCCTAGTTATACTGCAATCACACACAAAAGACAAGAAGTTATGGACTTCTCTTCTCTAATTGGAATGTATACTATTAACTTTTTTATTAAACGAATAGAAATAAGGCCAGGATGGAATGCAATTTTCAAATCTTTTTCAATTCAAGTTAGTGTATGACATATGCTATCTGTTTTGTAACATAATTATCTATACATATATATATATATATATATAAAAATGAATGTATAGGTGTGTGTCTGTCTGTCCTTCATGCATTACCACACCGTTTATCCCATTGCCGTGAAACTTTGGGAAGTTGTTTAATATATTCCGGCGAAGGTTTGTGGCATAGTACGATTGCCATGAAACTTTAGAAAAGTTTTTAATACACTCCCGCGAAGAACATTTATCCTACGATAGATGGCGCGCGTTTACATGATCATTCAAGCACTGTGTGTTCGATCGATTTCAAATTGTGAAGACCATTTTCCCCTCCAAAAATATCTCTATATATGCATATGTGAACTGTTATTTACGATATTTGTAATAATTTTTGTTTAATCACTTTATTTCAACTTTTTTTTGCTAATTATGTATTCATTCGAACTTCGTTAAAACCTTAACTGTATCCAAACAACACCCGAAGTTGTAGGAGGAAATTCGCTTATTTTACCGATCTAGGATTCCCCTTTCCCAAATTTTAATATCAACTCAAAATAATTTAAAAAGACAAATTACAATAAAACGGTTTATTATCCAACTATCAGAAATTTTACAACGTGCCAAGGAAGAGAGGAAGGAGCAATTAAATATTCAAAATTATAAAGGATTTAAAAATATATATACAAATGAGGAATATCGCACTTCTAACAATCTCTGTGAGTATGTGGGCTAAATTTAAAGAATCTGTGCTTCTCACATGTACAGTACAACTGTATGTGGCCTGTTCACGCGTCGGAAAACCTTCTGATTTATTCGTGTACGCATCAGACAGAAAAACAAAAAAATATCGTGCATTCACAAGCACTCCAATAAGTAAATAGAATTGAAACGACACTTTGAAATGTTTTCCCGATGAAAATGAATAATAATAATAATAATATTATTATTATTATTATAAGTTTCAATAAAAATGATAAAATGTAAATTTAATTTTATCATAACGAGTTTGCTTGAATTTCGTTTCTTCTGAGATCGCAGCAATGCGCGACGGGTAAGCTAGTATATATATAAATGAGGATTTTGTTTTTTTGTTTTTTGTTTCTTACGCATTCCTGTGCCGTGTGATCAATTGCTACAGAATTTGCATGTTAAGTCAAATTAATTTAACTTCTGAAGTCGTACATTCCACCCCTAATTATCATTTTTCCAGCACGGACCACTTTTCAAATATTAATAGTAGACTAGTACTGGCAAGCCCCAAATCCGACATAGGGCGCTGTTTTTAATCCAAGATGGCTGCTGAAATAGGTAAGGAACCGACCAAGTGTTTGTTCAGTGCCTGAGTCGATTCAGTTTCCATCGTGACGACTACTGGGAGGACCAAATTCACATAAATTCAATGATTTGTTCTTCAATTCTAGACTATATCGGAGACAGGAAACGTTGTCTTGTAGAAGGTGAAGCCGTTTTGGATGCTGGACACATCGGTATTTTGTGGATTAAACTCTAACAACAACACTGAAGTTCATGTTGTTGCTTTAGTGTTGTAATCTCAGATATTATCATTTTAATAGATCTGAATTACAGGAAAAATTCAAGTGCAAAGCGGGCTGTCTGGTTTTTGTAAACATGTGATAGCACGTTTATTACACGTTAACAGGTTAAAAGTATTTAAATATTTTAAGCGGTATACACCATGTTCGAATATAAAAAAAATATTTTATTTATGATAATAGTTAAAATTAGTGCCAATCTGAAGGTTGCCCTCCTGAGTCATTCAGCGCTTATGTAACATAGTCCAGTCAAAAGTTTATGGCATACATATACAAAAAGAAAGACTAACTCCAAAATTTTAAATATCAGGATAACGAGCAAATACAAGGTGCGTTCCATAAGTAATGTGACTAATTTTTTCACCACGCTACGATGTGCCGTAGCTAGTTATTCCCCGTTTTCAGTTAATGTAACACGGAGCAATGTATCATTTTGTGGACCAACGTTACGCTATCACATTTTGCGTTAAACTTGGAAGGTCCGCCACCGAAACTTTTAAATTAATTCAGCAGGCCTTTGGGAGAGATTGCTTCTCCAAATCACAAGTCTTTCGATGGCACAAGTCATTCAAGGATGGCCGAGAGGAGGTCACCGACGAACCCCGCAGTGGACGTCCATCAACCTCTCGAATTGCCTTCTTTGATATCAGAGGCATTTAACCACCACGAATTCGTACTTGTCAGGACCACTATAAATGCAGCTTTCTACTTGGAAGTGTTCAAAACACTGAAATCCTAGTCGCGCGCTGCCGAAATGACATCAAGGACACGCAGAAACTTCATAACTACAACGCGCCAAGCCANGTTTACATTAGAATGATTGCAATCAAGTATTTATCAAAGAAATGCATTACGTCAATTTGAACGTCATTGTCAAAGGATTATTGAAACTTTCTCTGCCACTCTTTCCTGCAAAACTACGAAATAAAGTAAGTAATTTTTATCCTAAAGAATATAGCAAAAAATATTGTATTTTAAAACATTATATTTTTAAACTAATTGCTTATTATCTATTATTTTTTATTTACTTATGAAACAATACACCAAGTTGTGCAACGTACAGTACATTTCGTTTTAAAAGGTTCTATTACTGACAAATTACAGAACAACGTTTATAAAATAATAATTTAAATATATCGCTGTTCTTATTGTTTGATATTTAGAATGTTTCGTTTATAAAGTAGTTGTTAATTCGAAACGGTGACATTTTTCTTAAGAGTATGCTTTATTTTCCTTGGATACTGCTTTGTCTTCCAAACACAAGAGTCAAACGTTTATGAAAATATTGCTGAAAACATTAATTAAGATATATCAAACGTATTATATTTAATTACTAAAACAGTATCAAAATAAATGACTGAGAACACCCTTTTTCATTAAACAGGCCTGTTTAATGCACAGAAGAAGTAAATTCTGATAACAAGACTACATAGGTAGCATCAGTCAATAAATTTTTTTTAAAAATATATTGTTACAAATGCATACAGTATATACAACTTACAATATAATATCTCTCTCTGTTTTTCCTTCACAATCATGAAGTTATTACATTAATTAGTAAATATATAATTGTTCACGATGACAAAGTAGGAATTCAGCTAGTTAAGTTACCTGTAGTGAAATTATGAATTTATTATTTAATTGCAGCAAACCCTCTACAATTACAATATAAAATAAAAAAAAAACAAAGAATGAATCATTAAAAGAGAATCGACATATTAGTTAGAAACGCTCTCTTTGTATGCAATTGCAAAATAAGTTGTTTTTTGGCTATTATATAAACTTATACTTTTATTACACTGAATACGTAACGTAAATATTTCAAAAGTAAATGAATATTAATGACGTTTAAATTATTGTTTTATAATAAATATAATAACTCGTTTACAGATATTTCCACATAGTGACATGACGTCTTTACATGAATTCATTCATCCAGAATATCTTCCTATTGAATATGGAGGTGAATTACCAGATTTTGATTCGAGTGAATTATTTGAAGTAGTAAGACAAAACGAAGAATTTTTTGTAAGAAACGAAGAATTTCTCAAGATCTACAATGAAACGGTTCAATAAATATTTTTTTCGAAAATTCAAATATTTTCTTCTGGTTAATATAAACTGTTAGCAAATACGAAAATTTATTTACTTTTGATACAAGAATTATATAAAACATTCCAAAGAAAATCAGTGTTTGAAGTTATACACTTTTAAATCATAGTCTTTCGTGTCTTCAATACTTATTTAAATAATATAGAATTCGAAAAAAATATTGTATGACGTATTGAATGAATTAAAAAGTGTTGAATATTTGTGGAATTTCCAATAAAATGAAAATGTTTAGAGGATATTTTTAATGTAATCAACAAATATTAATTAATTATACATTTAATTGTTACCAATTATAATCAAATTGTAGTAAATTACTCATAAAATTAATTTTTAAAATTGAATTTTAAGTGTGTTAGAAATTTTATTTTAAAAGCGATTTGCTGTGTTTAAAGAATTACAGCGCACTTTAAATTAAATAGTTAGAATTTTTAAATTATAAAGATGTTTAAAGTCTTTTTAAAATACAAGAACACTTGTTGAGATAAATGCAGTAAAACCTATATAAATAATATCATGAAGACAAACGTCCATTGTTCCAATGAATCTGTCGTTCTCAGGTTGTTTTGTACGCAATGTTATAAAGCAGAAAACAAGTTCCTGCAAAAAGACCGCTGTTTGGAAGTCACCGCAACTAGAGATTCAATTGTTATATAAATAGTGTTATAAATATATGTTAATTAAGTATTTTACTCTTCTTGTATATTAAAGTGTGTAATTAAATATGTTTAACTAGGTAATGGTATTTTAATACTCTATTTACATTAAATTTAGCAGAAACATATTTTTTTATTTATGTAATCTATTTAGATACTTGCTTGTTTATTACATTCGTACAGAATTATAATGAAAATTGTAATTAAACATAAAAATTTTGATGCATAGAAAAAATTTCTGATCAATGTTTTGGAAGTAAAAATAAAGAATTCAAAACAAATTATGTAACTTTTTTCATAAACAGATCCTCGTAGAGAGAGAACACGCATCAATTTTAAGTTACCTATAATTAAATGTTGAAGTGTAACAATGAACCAATTGTTTTTTCATTGTAAGTGTTGTTAGAATGTTTTTATTAACCATTAAAGTCGGACACAGGCTGAGGGTTTTCCTTATATTTTATATATTTTTTACTTAATTTAACCCATTTAATGCACCTTTCGTCCACTATTATAATAAATTGCCAAATGATATTTAATTAATTAAGAAGGGATTTTTGAAAATTCCTTCTGCGAGGGCTAGAGGGAGAGGATTAAGGCTTTACCTGAAGAACGACTTATACAGTACTATTTTAAATGCGATTTATTGTTTTTATCAGCGTTTAGTCTTCATTGAGTACTTGGGTGCAGTAAATGCATAACATTTTAGACATTGTTATAAATATTTTTATATATTTTGATTTTTTAAGCAAATGTTGCAAGCGTTTTAAATTCGAATTTGTTGTTGCATATTGGTTCGATTATAGAACGATTGTAAACGTTCCAGAAAATTAAGCAAATTGAAAATAGTTCGTTTAATTCTCATCAATTCTCAACATTCTCAGCAGTAGGTGTTGTATAACAATTACTATGGTTGTTGAAATACTGAATATAAATGGGGTTTGCTTGTAATACCCCCACGGGCGAAGTCGCGGGTAACAGCTAATTATATAATAAAATGTAAACATTGAAAAAAACACAAACATTTCCGAGATGTTCGATTGAAATATATAGAATGTTTATTATCATAAGGTACAAGCATACATTAATTGAAGAATTTCGAAATTGTTATTTGCAATGTCTATTACATTGATAGCTAGGAAAGTGACTATAACAATTATTTTACATATCATTGGAACTATCACTGAAAAAAAGATTCCATCCCCGAGTAACATAATTGACCCAAAAGTACAATAAAATACTATAAAAAACAAAATATAAATATTTTTAAAACGATAAAAAGTATAATAAGAAAGAAACATAATACCCAACTTCACTGTCTGTAACCGCCGTTCTTCTTCTCCAATACAGAAGACTTTGCAAACGTTTTCGAACCTAATGTGGTTCTCCTTCAGGCGCTATGGAATTTCCTATATGAATTCGAATTTCCAGAATTAACCGTTGTTTTTGAAAATTTTTTGGAACGTTGTCACGTATTACCGATGGCGTCATTGTAGACTTGCGCATTTTCCGTATGTTGTTATGTTAGAGATTTATTGAGGAAGGCTTCCCATGCTGTTGATATCTTCATTTCTCATTTGAAGTTAATGCAGTGCTTATTCCTGAGGGTGTTAAGGCAAATGTATACGGCCTCAAGCCATCTGAGGTGTTCTGTGCGGACCTTTCGCCATAACACCCTCAGGAATAAGCACTGCATTAACTTCAAATGAGAAATGAAGATATCTACAGCATGGGAAGCCTTCCTCAATAAAACTCTAAAGTAACAACATACGAATAATACGGAAGTCTACAATGACGCCATCGGTCACACGTGACAACGTTCCAAAAAAATTTTCAAAAACAACGGTTAATTCTGGAAATTCGAATTTATATAAAAAATTCCATAGCGCCTGAAGAAGAACCACATTAGGTTCGAAAACGTTTGCAAAGTCCTCTGTATTGGAGAAGAAGAACGCCGGTTACAGGCAGTGAAGTTGGGTAATTTATCTATTCCGGTGTTAAAATTTCTGTATAGAAACATCATACATTATGTAAAAAGCATTGTCATAAATGTTTATATTTTTTTAAAATCTTGACGAAGGATATAATCAATAGGCGACACGTAATCAATGAAGCGATTTAAAAAAGATCAACGACTTAATGCTAGTCAATAATAAAGAGTATTTAGAAATGATTATGACGTAGATATTTCAGTGGGAAGTTTCAACCTGTGCCAGTAATTATATATTATTCCTGATGTTGTCGAAACCGTGTTGTATTTGCTTATTGTGTACAGGCACAATGAAGTGACGTTTTTTTCAACACTGGGCTAGTTGAATCTTTTATTTAGTTAGACTAAATAAAAGATTCAACTAGCCCAGTGTTGAAAAAAACGTCACTTCATTGTGCCTGTACACAATAAGCAAATACAACACGGTTTCGACAACATCAGGAATAATATATAATTACTGGCACAGGTTGAAACTTCCCACTGAAATATCTACGTCATAATCATTTCTAAATACTCTTTATTATTGACTAGCATTAAGTCGTTGATCTTTTTTAAATCGCTTCATTGATTACGTGTCGCCTATTGATTATATCCTTCGTCAAGATTTTAAAAAAATATAAACATTTATGACAATGCTTTTTACATAATGTATGATGTTTCTATACAGAAATTTTAACACCGGAATAGATAAATTACCCAACTTCACTGCCTGTAACCGGCGTTCTTCTTCTCCAATACAGAGGACTTTGCAAACGTTTTCGAACCTAATGTGGTTCTTCTTCAGGCGCTATGGAATTTTTTATATAAATTCGAATTTCCAGAATTAACCGTTGTTTTTGAAAATTTTTTTGGAACGTTGTCACGTGTGACCGATGGCGTCATTGTAGACTTCCGTATTATTCGTATGTTGTTACTTTAGAGTTTTATTGAGGAAGGCTTCCCATGCTGTAGATATCTTCATTTCTCATTTGAAGTTAATGCAGTGCTTATTCCTGAGGGTGTTATGGCGAAAGGTCCGCACAGAACACCTCAGATGGCTTGAGGCCGTATACATTTGCCTTAACACCCTCAGGAATAAGCACTGCATTAACTTCAAATGAGAAATGAAGATATCAACAGCATGGGAAGCCTTCCTCAATAAATCTCTAACATAACAACATACGGAAAATGCGCAAGTCTACAATGACGCCATCGGTAATACGTGACAACGTTCCAAAAAATTTTCAAAAACAACGGTTAATTCTGGAAATTCGAATTCATATAGGAAATTCCATAGCGCCTGAAGGAGAACCACATTAGGTTCGAAAACGTTTGCAAAGTCTTCTGTATTGGAGAAGAAGAACGGCGGTTACAGACAGTGAAGTTGGGTATTATGTTTCTTTCTTATTATACTTTTTATCGTTTTAAAAATATTTATATTTTGTTTTTTATAGTATTTTATTGTACTTTTGGGTCAATTATGTTACTCGGGGATGGAATCTTTTTTTCAGTGATAGTTCCAATGATATGTAAAATAATTGTTATAGTCACTTTCCTAGCTATCAATGTAATAGACATTGCAAATAACAATTTCGAAATTCTTCAATTAATGTATGCTTGTACCTTATGATAATAAACATTCTATATATTTCAATCGAACATCTCGGAAATGTTTGTGTTTTTTTCAATGTTTACATTTTATTATATAATTAGCTGTTACCCGCGACTTCGCCCGTGGGGGTATTACAAGCAAACCCCATTTATATTCAGTATTTCAACAACCATAGTAATTGTTATACAACACCTACTGCTGAGAATGTTGAGAATTGATGAGAATTAAACGAACTATTTTCAATTTGCTTAATTTTCTGGAACGTTTACAATCGTTCTATAATCGAACCAATATGCAACAACAAATTCGAATTTAAAACGCTTGCAACATTTGCTTAAAAAATCAAAATATATAAAAATATTTATAACAATGTCTAAAATGTTATGCATTTACTGCACCCAAGTACTCAATGAAGACTAAACGCTGATAAAAACAATAAATCGCATTTAAAATAGTACTGTATAAGTCGTTCTTCAGGTAAAGCCTTAATCCTCTCCCTCTAGCCCTCGCAGAAGGAATTTTCAAAAATCCCTTCTTAATTAATTAAATATCATTTGGCAATTTATTATAATAGTGGACGAAAGGTGCATTAAATGGGTTAAATTAAGTAAAAAATATATAAAATATAAGGAAAACCCTCAGCCTGTGTCCGACTTTAATGGTTAATAAAAACATTCTAACAACACTTACAATGAAAAAACAATTGGTTCATTGTTACACTTCAACATTTAATTATAGGTAACTTAAAATTGATGCGTGTTCTCTCTCTACGAGGATCTGTTTATGAAAAAAGTTACATAATTTGTTTTGAATTCTTTATTTTTACTTCCAAAACATTGATCAGAAATTTTTTCTATGCATCAAAATTTTTATGTTTAATTACAATTTTCATTATAATTCTGTACGAATGTAATAAACAAGCAAGTATCTAAATAGATTACATAAATAAAAAAATATGTTTCTGCTAAATTTAATGTAAATAGAGTATTAAAATACCATTACCTAGTTAAACATATTTAATTACACACTTTAATATACAAGAAGAGTAAAATACTTAATTAACATATATTTATAACACTATTTATATAACAATTGAATCTCTAGTTGCGGTGACTTCCAAACAGCGGTCTTTTTGCAGGAACTTGTTTTCTGCTTTATAACATTGCGTACAAAACAACCTGAGAACGACAGATTCATTGGAACAATGGACGTTTGTCTTCATGATATTATTTATATAGGTTTTACTGCATTTATCTCAACAAGTGTTCTTGTATTTTAAAAAGACTTTAAACATCTTTATAATTTAAAAATTCTAACTATTTAATTTAAAGTGCGCTGTAATTCTTTAAACACAGCAAATCGCTTTTAAAATAAAATTTCTAACACACTTAAAATTCAATTTTAAAAATTAATTTTATGAGTAATTTACTACAATTTGATTATAATTGGTAACAATTAAATGTATAATTAATTAATATTTGTTGATTACATTAAAAATATCCTCTAAACATTTTCATTTTATTGGAAATTCCACAAATATTCAACACTTTTTAATTCATTCAATACGTCATACAATATTTTTTTCGAATTCTATATTATTTAAATAAGTATTGAAGACACGAAAGACTATGATTTAAAAGTGTATAACTTCAAACACTGATTTTCTTTGGAATGTTTTATATAATTCTTGTATCAAAAGTAAATAAATTTTCGTATTTGCTAACAGTTTATATTAACCAGAAGAAAATATTTGAATTTTCGAAAAAAATATTTATTGAACCGTTTCATTGTAGATCTTGAGAAATTCTTCGTTTCTTACAAAAAATTCTTCGTTTTGTCTTACTACTTCAAATAATTCACTCGAATCAAAATCTGGTAATTCACCTCCATATTCAATAGGAAGATATTCTGGATGAATGAATTCATGTAAAGACGTCATGTCACTATGTGGAAATATCTGTAAACGAGTTATTATATTTATTATAAAACAATAATTTAAACGTCATTAATATTCATTTACTTTTGAAATATTTACGTTACGTATTCAGTGTAATAAAAGTATAAGTCTATATAATAGCCAAAAAACAACTTATTTTGCAATTGCATACAGAGAGAGCGTTTCTAACTAATATGTCGATTCTCTTTTAATGATTCATTCTTTGTTTTTTTTTTATTTTATATTGTAATTGTAGAGGGTTTGCTGCAATTAAATAATAAATTCATAATTTCACTACAGGTAACTTAACTAGCTGAATTCCTACTTTGTCATCGTGAACAATTATATATTTACTAATTAATGTAATAACTTCATGATTGTGAAGGAAAAACAGAGAGAGATATTATATTGTAAGTTGTATATACTGTATGCATTTGTAACAATATATTTTTAAAAAAAATTTATTGACTGATGCTACCTATGTAGTCTTGTTATCAGAATTTACTTCTTCTGTGCATTAAACAGGCCTGTTTAATGAAAAAGGGTGTTCTCAGTCATTTATTTTGATACTGTTTCAGTAATTAAATATAATACGTTTGATATATCTTAATTAATGTTTTCAGCAATATTTTCATAAACGTTTGACTCTTGTGTTTGGAAGACAAAGCAGTATCCAAGGAAAATAAAGCATACTCTTAAGAAAAATGTCACCGTTTCGAATTAACAACTACTTTATAAACGAAACATTCTAAATATCAAACAATAAGAACAGCGATATATTTAAATTATTATTTTATAAACGTTGTTCTGTAATTTGTCAGTAATAGAACCTTTTAAAACGAAATGTACTGTACGTTGCACAACTTGGTGTATTGTTTCATAAGTAAATAAAAAATAATAGATAATAAGCAATTAGTTTAAAAATATAATGTTTTAAAATACAATATTTTTTGCTATATTCTTTAGGATAAAAATTACTTACTTTATTTCGTAGTTTTGCAGGAAAAAGTGACAGAGAAAATTTCAATAATCCTTTGACAATGACGTTCAAATTGACGTAATGCATTTCTTTGATAAATACTTGATTGCAATCATTCTAATGTAAACACGAAAAAATTTAATATAATTAAAATGTTTTCTCATTTTTTAATTACCAAATTAAACGTATAGACAATATAGTTTGTGTTTTTTCTGTCACAAATAGGTGCATTGATAGACACTAGGCATTTTGGCATAACTCTTTACTTTGTAAAATCTTGTTGGCCGATACGCGTTTCGGGCATTTGCCCCTCTTCTGTCAACTTTACTTTTGAGATATCTTGAAAGGTGTTAATAAATATACATATTAGTTTAAAATTACATTAGTTACAATTAAAATTTTTTTGTTAAAATTCCTTGGAATTACCCTCAACAGGACTCAACTCCTGACATCACCAGTATGAGCTGTGTTGTTGAAATATTCTGAATATTTCAATAGAAAAGTTATTATTTAGTAAGAAACTACTTGCTTTTCCTACAAAACTGCTTGTAGTCAGTAGCGTAGCGCCCCCACTACGATACGCTACTGTTTATGGTATTCATAGTTTTTTTACTATAAAGCAAGAATTTACAGCGATTACCTATTAAATAATGGTTTTTCCTACCAAAAACTAAATAAGTTTTCTATTAAATATTAAATGATTACAATAGTTACTGCTTATAGTAAGAAACCATAACAAAGCACTACTTTTTAGTAAAAATAAACTGCTGTTTCATGACTCTTTAGTAGGCAACGTATTGTAAAATTTGATTGTTTAGGAGGAAGTATAATTTCAGACTTTGTAACATTTTACATTTTACATTTACTAAAGGAGTAGAAGGCCTCCACCAATATGTATAGCCTTGAAAAAGGAAATATGAAGGGTTACAGCAGATGTGAGAAGAATGAAGAAAAGAAAAGAATGACAGGTATAGTTTGAAACATGAGACTTCAGAGCGCCACCGAGTGCCAATTATATAACACGAATGAATACAAATTACAAACATATAGCTGTGTACAGAATAACTGTCTGCAAATTGAGGCAGTACGACCTCCATAACAGCTAACTTGTTTTGGAAATCGACACACAAAATGCGTATGAACAACTCACTTGCGGGAAAAAACAGACAAAGCCCTCCATGGTTGAGGAAGTAACATAAGAAAACGGTCGCGTTTGTACAAATGACAGGGCCTCCATAATATTGGAGGTAACAAAAGAAAAAGAAAAACAATCGCGCATGTACAATACAGCCAGTATATGAGAAAAGAGCCCCAACAGCTGACTTGCCATCGGGCCAAAACAAAACGTGTATATACAACCCTCTCTAACCAGAGGGGAACCGCTGAATAGTTCGCCATGCTGTTATACTTTAGAATGTCTGCAGCTCTGATGAAAGTTTCAAGAACCTGTAGGGTCTTTTGATTCATGAAAAAGGTTTTCAACTGGCATGGTCATACATCGTGCTCGCTAAAATTCGTCTTTAATTTTTGTATCTAGTGCACAAAAAGATGACATGCTGCACATCTTGATCCTCATCTAGGGCACAGGGGCATTTCCCATTCCCTTTGTTCAGGAAACACTTGAGGTATATCCTGAAGTTCCCGTACCCTGTAACGATTTGGGTGGTAATGAAGTTTGGATGGTAAAATGATATGTGCCTCCCGTTCTGAATGCTTGGAAAAATTTGGAAGGCAAGTCTGCCTGTTTTTTCTGCTTTCCACCTCTGTTGCCAGATTTGGGTCATGATGTTGTCTAGTTAGGACTTGACTAGTTGGTGTTGAAAGAGATGGACATGTCAGCCTTAGCTGCCTTTTTTGCGAGTAGGTCGGCTCGTTCGTTTCCAGTTATCCCAGCATGCCCTTTGACCCAGTTTAAAAGGGTTTTAATCGTCTTTTCCCTAAGTAGCATCACAAGGTTGATAGTTTCTTGAACTATAGTTAACTTCGTACGTAGATTCTAGATTTGGACTGGGGCCGTTTTTGCTATTGCTGTTGATGTGTATTGTCTTGTTTCTGAACATCCGCTTCTCTGATATATTGCAACGCCCTCAAAATAGCCAAAATTTCGGCTTGGTAGTTTGAACATTTCATTCCTAACTTGAAGCAGGCCTGGTAAATTTGACCTTTCAGAGGTGTTATTAACGACTAATGCCCTCGACAGATTTGCACCCGTAAGTAAACACATTGTACGTTTTGTCATTTACTGCTGGTGCCTCGGTAATTTTCGAGTTTGGTTTAGCAGGGTGAACTATGTCTTTTGCTGTGAGTCCAGGCTGTACTTCTGAACGTCTTTTATAAATTCCTCCATGGAAGCATGAACAATGGGAGTTTGATTGCACTTTACACTTTGACCTAAAAGTTGGTTTATCCAATATATTTTTAAAACTTCTAGGTCTAGTGGTAGAATGTTTGAAATTACATGTAATGCGTTTGTCGGTCTTGTTCTATATGCTTTAGCTATCGATATTAAACTCATTCATTGGATTGAGTTAAGACGTTTCTTAATGTTTTGCTCGTTGGCGGCTTCTCCCCAGATCTCAGCCCCATAAGTAATGGCCGGTTCGATTGCACATTTATAAATTGTCTGTCTGGTCTTATAATTTATTCCCCACATGTTCCGAGAAATGCAGAGTACAGAGTGGGGTATCGTAACTCCCTTCTTGTAGATGTGGTTGATGTGTGATTTCAACGTTAAAGTCTCGTCAATCTTTAGTCCTAAGTATTTAATGTCTGAGTTGTGTTTAATCCTATGCCCAATTCAATTGCTGGTTTCTTATTAAGCGGGTGATGTCGTGGAAAAACTATACTTGCGCATTCAACTGGGTTTATTATTGTAACAGAAATATCAGAAACAGAAATTCAATAAAAGATGTTATTAAAATTTTGTTTAAATATTAGTGATTTTTACTTTGAATTTAAACAAATTAAAATGTTAAGTAAAAAGTTTATACTTACACTTATTAAGCTTACTAAGTTGTGTATAAATCGTGGTGTGTATTCCATTAATTGCTTAAAAGTGGAATTTTTACTGTCTAAAATTAAAACTATTCCATTCTCTTGACATTGGTGTAAAGTAAAGAATAAATCTGCTAAGAGGAACGTTAGGCGGTAAACATCTATCAAAGGTACTTCTGAAGGATCCCAATATTCTGTATATTAAAAAATATCAAGAATAAATTAAAATACTCTTATTTATATGAAAATACAGTGCACTTTTGTTACTCCGAAAGTAAATAAATTTTGAAATTTCACCACATCCTTTATTTTCCGAAGGTTCATCTTAATTCAAGTAATTTCTGGCAGCATTGTGTTTGTTGTACTTGGTTGCTGTTAGCAAGAGGAGTGTGCACTTTGATCAACGTTTATGTGTATCCTGTGTATTTGTTTACACATATTCTAATATTTATGTTGCTTATAAATTATGTGTATACATTTTTGTAAACTTCATATTATATTAACCATGCTTACTCTACACATGATAGAAATTAATGGTTTCTTACCTACTCATTTGTAAAATAGACTTTTGAAATTTGTAGTTAATCCTTTCATGTATTATAGAGTAATATCCAGAGTCTTCAGTATACTAACATTCTTTTCTTCATATATAACCATGCTAATTCGTATAACTGTGTGATTATTAGTCCGGATTAGCAAAAGTACATTGCATTTCAACTTTATGTTAAAACTACAAAACTAAGTCTAAAATTACATATATATTACATAAAATTAAAACATGAAATACGTTATAATACTGTAGATCTAATTCGTGTATTTCGCAAGTTTGACATTTGAGTTTAATGCAATTCAACGCTAAGAGATAAACAAAATAGAACACAGTAGATATTTACTACCATCGAAATGTTATCTTTGAGAAATATCTCCATTTAGATGTGAGATATATAATAAAATGTGGAAAACTCTATGTGGTCAGTCTATTGTTTAGGAGTAACTCACGCCGTTCAGTAGTTATTATTCTCAAACAAAAAGTAAAAATAAAACTAAATTATTTTTAATTCGTTCTACTGCAATTCTTATCGCTGTTCGTTACTTCGCGCTAATACATACTCTGCTGAAGTTTCTTTCGTAACTTTTCCATGTGTACTTCTTATAGCAGTAAACGAAGTGTTTTATATTACAGTGTCTTACACCAATCAAAAGATTCTTCTGTTCTACTTTACATCCTTATTTATGCATCCATTTATCTAATTTTGGGCTAAAAAACATCGTCGATCTGCGATGAGGCAGTCGTTTCATTAAGGAAAGCCGACTCACATCTGTGTTTAGTAGTATGTGGATGATTTGTGTGTCTTACAACTCTCGTATTCTCCAATCCGAGACAATGAATAACGTTGCGTAATTGCACAAAAGCGAACATATGAAAGATTCAAATTATCCCGACATTTTCTTTAATCAAAATTTACTTATTATTCATCTTCGAAAAATCTTTGTTATTTTTCTTTGATCATTCTACAATTCACAAGTATATACTGATTTCACATCGAGTGATGGCAGTGACTTCATGCCAATTGAAAAAGTCACTGACTCACTAAATATACAAGAAACTTTTTGGTTCAATTTCTTCATCTGTAAAGGCCTATAATAATTCTGTATATCTCATTCGAAATATAATTATTCACTTAGGTAGCCTGCAAAATTTCAGCATTTTCAATAAAGGGCTTGCCGAAATATTAGTAATCGAAATGTGCAAAAACCGCCAAAATGCTGTATTACGTCCTTGCTCTTTTATATATAACAGAAAGAAAGTATGGCAATCCGTCGAAAAACGACACTTCTCAACGAATACTTTTAAATTTTTGGATCCAGGGGACCATGAAAAGTACAGAGAAAATTGGGTTATTTTCTTTATGTATAGATGTTAGTGTGTTGAGTAGCACGATTTTGTTCACCCTGTTTGAAGCTAATAACTCCCGTGCTTTTTGTCGAAAAATTATGAAATTTTGCAAGGAGATTCGTGTATTGGTGGATTGATGCTATTACATTTTAGTGATTAAAAATTGAAAAGGCTAGGAGTAAAAGGAGTCGTGTAATATCTTCATTAGGGTCGGACATAAAGAGGTTTTTACTCGTTATTAGCATTTGCAATTTTTTTACAAATCCAATCCCTACCTCGAAATTAAGAACTTTTCATTTTATAGTAATTAAAAAATAAAAAAACATTTTAAATAAAATATAATAGCAAATGGCGCCATAAAATGTTGACAGGAAAGTTAAGTAACTCTTTGCTGGAAATTTTTCTTATATTTATTTCACCAGACACCCGTAGAGAAAATAAATTATTGGATGTAGAAAGCTCAAATTTTAAACTTAAGCCTCTATTGTTATTAGTATAGTGCTAAAGAAACTTCCTGGTCAATAGGTCACAGTTAACGGAGATATAGCTATTTTACTTTTCTCGCTTTATATTAGCTTGGTTCTTTAAAATGAAATGTAGGAAACGATAATAAAAATCTGTTGTGTACCTTTTTCATGTACGAAGTTTACCTTTACCGAAGAAAATCTCCTATGAGAAACAAATTTGACTTTTATGTAAATTATCATAATGTAAATTATTAGACTATATTATGTAAATTTTATGTAAATTATTTTTCCTGTTGGCGTACATCTCAGGTGTTTATGTTTAGATTGAAAATTACACAGATAACTTCGTAGAGAGTCCAAACGCTATCGTAACATTCTTTCTTTCTGTCGACACTCCAACAAGGCTTTGTTTATTTCATTTCCTCTCTTCTTCTTCTTTTTCTGGTCCTCTTTTAAAGAAATTCTTCATGTCCAACGACTGTCCATTTCAAAGCTGGGCCAGTAGCTTTCACTCAGATCCTCCCTTAAAGAGATCCTTGAGAAATTGGTAAAGTATGATTAACGGTGAATTGAAAAACTGCCTTTCCAAACGGAAAACAAAATCACTTTGTTTTATGATTACTCTCATTAATTAATCCTACTTAACACAGCGCGTCTCGTTTCTTATATTTGCAGTGTGTTATTAGGATTAAATTCACTCTTGAAGAATACAAATATGGTATTTACCATTAGTTTTAAAAGTAAAATTTTGTTCCGGTTACAGGGAATAAATACGTATGAATGACTTAGAAATTAATCGTCCTGTAAACTGAGAANGGGCTAGAGATTGGTTCTGTTAAGCTTTTGTTTAAGTAAAATTCCGTCTCTTTCAGCATGGTTTTATTTATGTCTCTAATTCTCTCATCTCTAAACTATTTAACTACTTGTTAAGTAGAAATAAGTCGAAACTAGTTACTTTGTACTCGAATATTTGTAGTCTTGGGAAGGAAGTGGAAAGACAAATTTTTATGACAACAGATACATAAATTGTAAATTTAAGAAATATAAATTCTAGAGATTTTTTTATACCTCGTGCGTCTCATTCATTAAATTTGGTTGTAAATGATGCTGCCAAAGTAACAGTTAATTTTTAACATTGTATAGGAATTGTACTCTTGTTTTCTGCATTTCCTTATAGACGGGACATGCGAAATCGTAATAACACTCTAGATTAATTAACATTGAAATCCGTAAGTAATACAAAATTGGAGAGCAGAATAAAAAAAGAATAAATATATCAAATATTTTAATGAATTTTTTTAAACTCCTGTCAAGTATACAGAACTATCACAGAAACATAACTCAACCGATAGGAATTTACTTATAAGTTATAAATGTACTCATGATTAGCATAATCGAGCGAGGGCGGCCAAACATCTAGTAGGCAGGCAGCTAACAGACTAGAACCGGTCCTGGATAGAATCATTGGAAACTTTATACGTGTGTAACTTTCACAGCTGAACCGCGTGAGGTTAATGCTCTGTAAAGCGCATCCGCAAATGCGTATAATCTGGCTGTTTGGAAGCTGACCCGGTTTCGACAATACAGCGGTTCTATTAAGCCACTGATATTCGAATATACAATAGCAATCTTATCGTTTTTTCACGTGTAGTATAGAAAATTGTAATAAGATACATAATGCGGTTATAATAAAATATTAATCTTAATTAATTCAAAGTACGTTAACTTATGAAAATAATCGTGCAATATGTATTTATATTTTAGAAACTACAATGGAAAGCGGCGCGTCCACCGCTTCCAAGGGCGGCACGCCACTGGATCACACGTGGGTCCAATTGTCAACGTCGCGCTTCTTTTTTTTTCCTCTCTGCACTTAAAAGCCATTACTTTACATCATATTTCACCCCTGTTACGTATAACACAGCTGAGAAAGTAAAACAAATATAGTGTCTGAATAATTCAAAAACAACCATGTGTGCGGCGCAAATATGTGTTTACATTGTAATATGCTGAATTCTGTAGTTCATGTTTATTCTTTAATTACAATTATTATTTCTGACTATATGAATATAAATTGTTTTTCTTCTATTTTTAGGGTTTCTCGATTGTTCGAAACCGGAATAATTCAAGCCCAGCATAAAACAAAGTATAGAAATGAGAAAATAGAAAATCAATTTGAAGCATTAAGTTTATCAAACTTTTTAGGAGCCTTCTATCTTCTTGTCTCAGGTTATTTGTTTGCAATTATCGTTTTTATTTTAGAATTACTTGTAGACAAAAAGGCTAGAGCTGTGCTTGATCAAGAGGAAAATGATAAATTATCGAAAGTTTGTTGCATTCGTATACATAAATAAATAAGTATAATCTCACACTATTGCATTAAGTAGAAACTCGAGCAATTTCTTCGGATAAACTTTTCCTGTATATTTTTATTAACACGCAAGTCAATTTTACGTACATTATTTTACTGCTAAGTAAAAATTTATGTTAATTTAAAAGATGATAAAAAGTATTTATGTAGATGAAATTTTTCTTTATGTGTAAATAGTATAAAACAGTATAAACGGATAGTAATTATTGTGTTGAAAACAATTCTCGTATCGGAATTTTTTTACATTCATTTCGGTCATTATCTGAAAAGTGCAAAATATTACGGTTTAATATTGTATATACTGAATGTTAAAATTCACGTAAACTTGAATAACTTTACGCGAAAATTTGCCATTTCTGCAATAACACTTCAGTTCCGTTTAGCTGTTGTGTTTTGATGCAGAGATATGTCTCAGCTTATTTGGAGTCTGGGACATAGTTCGTGTATGTCATTTTTCTC